CTTGAAGATGTGATTCACTAACAGGAGGCCATGCTGCGGTAGGGCGAGTCCTAGTCCAGCAGAGTGGTGACCTATAAAGAGAAAAAGCACAGGCACCCAGGACGGGGACAGCAGACGGGCGTGGAGGCAGAGATGGGGCGAGGCTGCCACAGTCCAGGACACCAGCAACGCAAGAACCCATTAGAAATCACCAGAAGCTGCAAGAGGCAAGAGCGGGTCTTTCCTGTGAAGCCCCAGAGGGAGCTTGGCCATGCCCACTCCCTGAGTCCACACTGCTGGCCTCCAGCCCCTTCTCTCGTTGGAAGTTCTGCTTTGTAATGACAGCAGTCTGAGGTGACCAGTTCAGACCTGGAGCCTCACATCCTCATCTGTAAAATGTGACCAGAGTAATTGTCTCAGGACAGTTGTAATCAAGGTGAGTTTCTGGTCTCCAGTTTGCCAGAAGGGCCACAAGAGGCACTGGCGGGCTCCGCCAGCAGGGGGAGGCAGAGCGCCGTGCTGAGCCTTGCGGCAGCTCCGAGGTGCTAGGGACGCCTGGAGCTTTGTCCTGCAGGGACTCCCCACCCCACGCAGCATGTTTGGTTTTTTCCTCTTATACAAGAGGAAGCTGGTTAGTAGAGAATAAGGAACCCACTAAAGATGACACATTCTTCTAAGACTTCTGCTTTTCAGTGAAGAAAGGTCAAAACAGGGTGACCCAGCTGCGACGGTGTATAGAGACTTGGGGGTGCCTTGAGGGTGGCCGCCGTCTGTCCCCACTGTCAGCTGGACATCAGCCCATCCTGATCTGTGGAGTTCTCACAGGCTACTTTGCAGACATGGTCTATCTTCCTTGTCTTAGAAAGCTCCCCTGAAAACTGTTGAAGATCTCAACACACACACACACACACACACACTCACACACACGTCCAGTGACAGACACACACACACACACGTCCAGTGACAGCTGGGAGTGGACCCTGCAATGAGAGTGCTGGCCACATATTGGACCTGGGTCCTCTGCATGAAAAACCAAGTTTACTGCCACGGAGTTGGTTCTGAACCATGGAGACCGTGCAGGTCAGAGGGAAACTGTCCACAGGTGCCCAAGGTGGTCATCTAAGGGAGCATCTTGCCTTGTCTTTCTCCTACGGAACAGCTGGTGAACTTGAACTGTGGATGTTTGTATGACCAGCCTGATGTCTTAGGCAGGACCCCATGAGGACTGCCTGGGGCTCTCAGATGGCAGGGGTGAACGCTACCACTGAAGCACCTCTCCTCCTGACAAATACTGCACACAGTGCAAACATTGACATTGGACAACAGGTGAAAGGTACTCAAAGATATGTATTGACTTACAGTAAACACCAAGAATCTATAGAAAACTGATTAAATACAGATAATGCCCAGGCATGGGCCCAAGTCCAAGGCCGCAATGAACACGGTGGGTGCCACTGCCTGCTGGGTGACGTCTGCTTCTCCTCACACTCTGCCTCCTCTGGCAAGTTCTCCGAGGGCCGTCTTCCCTTGGGTTTCTGAGGTGGTAAATCTGGAGTAGATGTCTGCATTGTTTCCCAAGGAGCCTAGAGGGTCTAAGCTTCTGGCCTTTCAGAACAGAGTTCACCTGGTCACCAGGGCTCCTTAGTGTGGCTGCTAGAACATTCTAAATGGCTTTGGGGGCCTATCCAGTGCCTGTTGGGAGTGTGCTCAGGGTAAACTTGTGTCTTCCCGGAAGATGGTCTGCCCTTGTCCATCCTGAAGCTATGGGAAGGGGCCCAGGAAGCAGCAAGGCCTGTGCTGAGGTGTCGGGTACAGAGGTGGCGTCCGGGCCAGTCTGAAGCGGGCATCTGAGGAGTGTGACCTAGAGTCCCAAGACAGGGATGGAGGGCAGGGGCCGGCCAAACAGGCCAGCTTCAGTGTGGTGTTGAGAGTGGGGCCAGAACCACCATGACGACATCTGTGGCGAGTGAGCTTGGAGAGACAGGGCACCCTGAGATGAATGTGGAGGGACAGACAAGGTGCACTGAAGTGTCTGTGGTGAGCGAGCTTAGAGAGACAGAGAGGGCACCTGAGATGAATGTGGAGGGACAGACAAGGTGCACTGAAGTGTCTGTGGCGGGCAGGTTTGGGGGGCAGAGTGGTCACACTGGGATCTGTGAACAACAGGTTTGTTGCACTGGACAAGCACTGGTTTCTAGCTGCTGTGCTCCTCCCTATCCCCAGGTCTGCCTGAATCATGTGGGCTCAGCCAGTCCTCCAAAGCCCAGGGTGGGATCCTGTCACTGGGGCCCTTGGGAACTGGCAGGCCGTGGCTGCTCTGCGGTGGGACATAGTCCATACTCCCCAGCCACGTTGTGATGTAATCATCTGTTCACCCCAGCTTCACACCTCACTTCCACGGGCCTGCACAGCCAGTTTAGAGACCAGAGAATTGAGCCCCAGTGCCCCCTGTCTGGGCACAGGGCCCTGGTGGTTCCAGAGTCGAGCCATTCTCCCCTGTGAGGTCTACGAGAACCATGGAGCCCTGCCCCCCTGCTTGCCGGAACCTCATTACCTCCCTTGGACTTCTTGGAAGTTTGAACATGGCCAGTTCCAGAAGGGGATGTTGGTCTGCCTCCCCTCTTCTCTACCAGTGACTCTGGGCCACACCCTGCCTCTGGCCGACCTGCTGGAACATCCCATTGCCATGGGCTCTCTCTGCTGGCTTCCTGACCTGAAGGCCAGTGTCTTAGCGTGAAGTAGCAAGCACAGGGCACACGTTTGTGTGAGTCCCTGCTCTCCACTCAGCCTTTTGGGGATATAGCCAGGAGTGGGCTGTGGGGTGCTGGGGTTCTCTAGGTACCACTTGCCCCCTTCCTCAGAAGATGAGGGTGGACCATGTTATGCGAGGACAGGTATTAACAAGTGTCTGGGTGCCAGGCATCAGCTGGAGTGAAGAGAGCCCCGACTCAGGAAGTATCTTGGGTTCACACTGGTCTTGGACAGGAAGGGGAACATCTTGTTCTCTCTCTTGGTCATGATGGTGTGAAGCTGCCTGCCAGCAGGGCCTGGGGTGTGTGGCCTGGTGGAGGGGGATGGCAGTGCCCAGGCAGGTGTGGGGTTCCCAGGTAAAGGGCCTGGATGGCTATGTCTACACATGGTTTCCCCTGCATGTGCCCCTCACAACCTCACGCTGGCCCCCGCCAGCCCTGCACTATCCTCCCCGACTCCCCACACACTCCCATCAGCCAAGGCCCTGCTCTCTGGGTCCCTCTCAGCCACGTGGGTCAGCAGGGCCTCACCCCAAGGTGTCCACCCTCCATTCGAATGTCAGGACAGTGTGGCTTTGAGAGCCCCTGAGACAGGCCCTACCCCTTGAGGTCTCCAAGTCTCTGCACAAGGCTGGCCCGTGGGTCGCTGACATGTATGCCTGCCTGTTCTAGAACTTCTGCAGACAGCCCAGCCTCTGATGAGTCGCAGCGTGGCTGGGCCTGCGAATGAACCCAGACCACAGCCAAGCTTAGCAAAATCAGAACGACCAATGGCAGCATTTTTATTGCAAATCAGTTAACAAAAGAGGAAAAAAAAATACATCGCTCATCTACAGTTTTGTATGTAGATAACTTTTAAAAAAGTTTATCCGTAAACTACACTCTATTTTACAAAAAAAGGAAGAATTAACAGCTCAGGATGGGTCTTGCCACACCCACTAGGAACAGCAAGACCTCACCCACCAGCCGAGGAGAGGCTCGAGGGAACCCCATCAGCTGAGCGGCTCGGGACCACAGTGGGCCCCTTCCTGGTGTGTGCTCTTAGGAGCTACTACCCACAGGCGAGGTCACTGCCCGGGCTGTCCGGGGCCTAAACACCGCCTGCCCCCTTGACGCAACAAATAACACACTTGTTCATTCAGATTTTTTAAACAAAATCCACCTTTAGAAACAGATGTACATCTACTGTGTCACAGGCTTATACTTGATATTGCAATTCACTTCTCCTGTCAAGGCCCCTCAGAACGGGGAGGGGCGGTTCTGCCAGTAGGCTGCACACCAGCCCAGGGGTCCACGTCCCAGAGGCTGTAGGCAGTGTCTCTCGCAGGCTGCCTGGAGGGGGCCCAGTACACAGGTTCTCCGGCAAACAAAACAGATGGCCAAGGTCCGGTTCTGAGAGTGAACCCAGCCCAAACTGGCCACCATCGCATCACCAGAAGGGCGGCTGGAAAGGAGGTTCAGCTAGCAGATCGGCCAGCAGTCTTTCCCCCCAGAAATGGGTGGGATGCCTCATGTGGGTGCAAGGAAGGCTCCCCTACTTCTCCCACTACACAGGCCAGGCAGGAGCTCTCCAAAGAAACGAGAGCTTGGAAGACCCAGTGGACGATGACACGATCCTGAGCCCCAAACGAAGATTCACACTGGTCCCCTGACCACACTCTCGGTGTACCCCAAGAAAGTATCTTCAAAGCAGTCTACAGACTCATTTAAAGGTAGGCCTCACCACATCGCTCCACTCAGCCTGCCCATCTCAGGTGCACAGGAGTCCGCGGGGCACAGGTGCAGAGGGGGATGGCCTCTGTGACCCCTCTGGCAGGGCCTGGCTCCAGCACGGGCAGGGTCTGGAGACCTGAAAGCTCTGTGGACAGAGCTCGTTTGGACTTCCCCTCCTCCTACAGCATTGCTTTTTGGATCTTGGAAAGGACATCAATAAATAAATGGCATTTCTAAATCACAAGGCTCTGTTTATCTTACAAGGACACACAGCATCTCTGTCTCAGCTACAGCGAGGGTGCTGAGAACAGGCCTATTTCTCTGAAGCTGGCCGCAGCTCCTACCTGGTGTTTAGAGAACAGCACGTATAAATAAAAGGTGTGTCTCCCTGTCAAACAAAGTACATAAATAAATACTAAAAAATAAAGTAAAAATCCAGGTCCGCTTGTGTCATATAAAAACGGGTTTCCAGAAGGATCGGCTGGGCTGGGCCGGCCTTCGGCACCCATGCCTAGGTTGGCAGGCTTGGGAAGATAGATGGCAGAAGTCCTGTGGTGTTTACTTGAAGGCCTCCGGGATGTGGGCAATCTGGGACTGCAGGCTGGTGGGTGGGCTGGAGATGCCCTCCGACCAGTCAGAGATGTTGGAATGTGGCGAGGAGCTGGACCACTGGTCCGGGGACTCAGGCGACGGCGTGAGGAAGGGGTGCTCCGGCACCTGCAGCTGGTGGCTGGGCGTGTTGTCGACAGGTGAGGAGTAGCTGTGCTGTGATGGGGGTGTCAGGAACTGGGCGGTGGTCAGGGGCGGTGCCAGCGTGGGCGGTAGCGCTGTGGGCAGGCCCTGGCTCTCTGAGGGCAGGACAGTATGCACAGCCAGCCCCGCGGGGCCCAGCGCCTGCACCTCCGGCTGGCTCGACTCTCCGCCCAGGAAGCCGCGGCCGCTGTGGCTGCTGGATGCGGGGCCCACCCCGAGGTTCGGTGGGGCCTGCAGGTTCTGTGGCGGCTGGACCTGCTGCAGTGGCTGGGCCGGCAGCAGGTGAGGCTGGGCGGGCAGCCTGGAGGAAGGCAGGCCTGGGTAGCTTGCCATCGGGGGCAGAGGCCCGGGGGGCAGGCCACTGTGCAGCTGACCCAGGCTGCTGTGTGGGAGGCCAGGTGCCTGTGGGGTCAGGGTGGCACGCAGCGGGGTGTACTGGCTGGGCGCCCGGCCGTTCTGCAGCCGTGACAGCCACTCGCACTGACCCAGGCTGGCAGTCCCCCCCACGGCCAGGTTCACCACGCCCCCGCCGGTGCCCAAGGCCGCGCTGCCGCTGCTGGAGGCCACAGGCAGGTGCGAGAGGCGGGGCGGGCCCTCGAAGGGCAGCCGGCTGCCTCCACCCAGCACCATCTCTGGCTTGGCCGCCATGCCCAGGTGCGTGAGGCCCAGGTGGGCGTCGGGCATGCCCGGCAGGTGGCTGAGCGGTAGGGATGGTGACTGCTGGAATGGGGAGGGCAGCAGGGGCGGGGAGGCCACGTCCGACAGGTAGCCATGTGGCGACTCAAGCGAGTCCACGGGAGACAGCACGCTGGCGCCGTCCAGCAGGCAGCCCTTCCCCTCTTGTGACCGCTTCCTCCGTGCCTTTAGCTCTTTGGCCTCCTTGCCGCCGCAGGCCAGGCCCTTGGCGCTGGGCTTGCGGGCCTTCTTGCCCTGCAGGGCCGGCTTCAGGTTGCCCAGGTAGCCATTCGGGGAGCAGAGCGGGGGCGACAGGGTGGGTGGGCCTCCAGGGCCCGCACCAGGCAGCGGCGGGCTGCGTGCCACGTTGTGCTCGTCCAGGAGACGCACGATGTCATGGTGGACCCGCTCCTGGGCGATGTCCCTCGGCAGGCGGTCCATGTGGTCTGTGATGTCTCGGTTGGCAAAGTGGTCCAGCAGTACCTTGGCTGTCTCGTAACTGCCCTCGCGGGCGGCCAGGAACAGGGGTGTCTCCTCCTGCAGGTGGAGATAGTGAGGTGGCTGCATGGACAGTACCCTGCTCAAAGTTCCTTGTCACATGGTCAGCCCCGTTCTGACCCCCCTGGATCCCTACAGAGTACATCCTTAGCTCCAGCCAACCTCTCATCACGTGCCAGCAGGCCTTGGGGGTCTGGGATGGGACATCAACAGACCTTGACTTTCTGTGACCCTACTCAGAACCTGACAAAGCCACAGGCTCTCTTCTGACTAAAAACACCCACAAAAATGGCTGTAGCAACTCCAGGTATGTGGGGACAGTCCCAGAGACGGCCCTGTCCAGACAGGCCCCGTTGTCCTCCCTATTCAGTCCTTCCAAGTTGGCTTTACTCTGAGTGGCTATGCTACAGGTCGCTCTGAGACCACTGCCCAGCTGGCACACACACACGGCTTGGCCAGGTCTGAGCCCTGGGGCTGGCCCTACTGAGTGGTGGCTCTCGGTTCAGCTCCTCCTGTGACGGGGGGACCTGTCATCTGGCAGGACGCTGAGGGGCTGGGAAAACACTGGGGGACGCGGGCTCTCAGCATCACTGGTCCCTTTTAGGGTGAGTGAGCTCCTGACTGACACACATGAGGTCCATGCCCCTGTCCCCACACCCCAGGTGCCTGTGGTGAGCACAGGGCTGCAAAAGCTTCCAGACAGGCGGGGCTCACTGTGGGAGAACAGGGCTCTGTATACACAGCCTGACTCCTGTGTTGGGAAAGGGACCCCTCACATACACGGTGTCCCAGCACTGCCTGCCCCTGGACAGCTGAGGGGCAGCGTGAGGTCGGCAATGGCTCGAGTCACAGGTCTGCCTACATGAGATGGGCTGGCCCACGCCTGCCCTGTGTACGCCTGTGGTCACTGTGGCCGATGGACAGGGAGGGCCCTGGTCTCCTGCAATTGGAGGCCAGGCACTGGGGTCAGCTGGTAGCGGTTTTACAGCCAGAGGCTGGCCCAGCTGCTCCCCGCCACCTCTCCCCAGGTGGAACGATACCACTGCTGTGTGATCTTGGTCTCTTAGACCCTGGGGCCTGGCCCTCAACTCTGTGACTTGGCCCCTGGCCCTGGCCCACCCCGCCCCCGGCTCACCTTGGCCCACCGTGTCCCCGGCCCCCCCTTCCCCC